ATCAAAAGACCCCACTGGCAATAAGAAAGTCCTCAATGATATCCAGACTTATTGGGTTATCCTGGGTTACTAAGCCTCTCGGTTAATGATCTGAACATCTTCATCTTCCTCTTCTTCCATTTCGTACTTTATTGTTAATAATCACATGCAAATCTCATTGTAGTTCCACGAGAACATCGATGTCTGCAGTGTGGGAAAATATGTGGATCAGAATCAGCTCTCAGTCGGCACCGTGGTACACACATGCGTTCCCTTGGACGGCACCAGTGTGAGACTTGCAAGCGTCAAGTGCGAACACGTGCCCATCTCATAGAGCACATGGCTCGCGTTCATAAAGTAAGGAAGTAAAGTTTGTTGTAAATTGCTTACTGATTTCTGTTTCTATATTGAAGTTGTGTTTGCATTCATACTACTATGTAGTATATCCTTGAGACTGTTCAGTATTTGTTAATTTTAGTTGCTTATTGAAAATATGAAATATTTTGGGATGAGAGCTTTGTTTTGGCAAGCTTAAGCTTTCATTGCATAACTAAGAATTCTTAGTTATTTGTACAACTCAAGTTTCTTAAGAGTATTCTTCCTAACAATTGCAAAACTAGATTCCAATTTTTAACCTGGAAAATGATTTAATTCTCAGATTAATCATGAGTCAAAGAAGCTACAGTGTCCCATGTGTGATCGAAGATTTACTACCAAAACTCACCTTGAGTCGTAAGTTTACTCTCCTTTAATTTCTTTGAGTAGCATGTAAGGAAAATTCTTTAGTGTTAGCTTGATAAGTAAATAAATTTTACGTAATCAGTATATTGATTAACATTCATATGAGAGGATGGTGCTTTCCTGGGTGATTGCTCTCTCTCAGCCAGCTACCTATGTTTTACATTTTTGGCAGGATGGAACCCCCTTCCGGGATTGTTGCCCCAACTAACCTTTTTTAATTTTAATGACAGGTGGTAGCATCCCCCGGATGATAGCTGCTAACCCAGCCTGCTACTTGCAATTTATATAGTGAAATTATCACCAGTTTTCTCATAGGATATGAAAACACTGGAGGTGTTTTCCGTTAATGCAGAAAAACGTTCACCCCAATCTGGGGGGCGCAATGCCCTGTTTTTTACCTGGTGTTATGAAATGTCTGAGATAAATTGCCCCTTTCCCCCTTCCCTTTTGTCTTATGGCCCGGGTTTGGTTTAGGCCTGTAATGTTGGAACCAAACCAGTATAATAAAAAACTCCACTTCACTGGTCACCATGGATTTAAGACCTTGGGGGGAGAAAACCCCCACTGAGCTGGTCCCATGTGTTTTTGCCCTTTGGTCGGAGAAACCCCCACTGAGTGGTCTCCATGTGTTTTAAAGAGCTTATGGGAGAAAATCTCCACTGAACTGGTCTCCGTGTGTTTAAGCCCTTAAAACAGGTAAAATTTGCCTCTGGGTCACCAGTGATTTAAGCCTTAGGAAAAATTTTTCCCTTGACAAGCAAAATAGCATACCACCATTTGGAAGAACCACAGTCATCCCCAGCCTGTGAGGTTCTCTAACTAAGGTGTTTGTTTTTCCAGGCCGTTTCTTTTTTTCCCAATATGCACAATGTTTCAAAAAGTAGAGATTTCTACAGCTGCTGATGGACCTGGAACTCACTTATCACATAAAGAAAGTTTCTTTTGTGTACCTTTTATTAATGTGGTAGTTTTTTCTTGAGCATTACATTCTGAAATAGGGATTACTTGTAAAAAAGTTGACATTAATTTTTATGCAATCTAAGATTTCACATTTTTTTTTTTCAACACGTCGGCCGCTTCCCACCAAGGTAGGGTGACCCAAAAAGAAAGAAAAAACTTTTATCATTCAACACTTTCACCATCACTCATACATAATCACTGTCTTTGCAGAGCGCTCAGATACGACAGTTAAAACGTCCCTCCAAACTGCCAATATCCTGAACCTCTCCTTTAAAGTGCAGGCATTGTACTTCCCATTTCAAGGACTCAAGCCTGGCTAACCAGTTTCCCTGAATCCCTTCACAAAATATTACCCTGCTCGCGCTCCAACAGCTCATCAGGTTCTAAAAACCACTCGTCTCCACTTTCATCTCTCACTTTATGATTGTAAATTATATAAGCAGGATGTCATGTGTTTGAACCCAGTTGGCTTTATATGTATTTGACATAAAATAAAATAAAATGATGCAGAAATTTAATGAGAATATTGCATGAAAATTGTTAAAAAATCAGAACATCTGCAGTAAAGTGGTGACATGAGCATAAGACAATTATTATAATATATTATAAGAATAATAGGGGTTTCACAAGGGAGTACATCTTTTTATAAAATGTTTAATTAACATCTGAATAAAAAGGATTTCATAAATACTGTGTAGGTCTTGACTTTGAGCCTACTACTGAGAAATATGGGGAAAATGCAAAAAAATTAAAGTTTTTTTTATATATATTTCTTGAGTTAACACATATTTTATTTTTATTCTGAGCATAATTGTCTTCCTAAAAGGCACCTGATCATCCACGGTGAGCGGGAACCTCAGTGGTCATGCAACAGGTGTGGCCGCAGTTATGTTCGTCCTAGCAGTCTGCAACGGCACATGGCTACTCATGACCAGAAATATGTGTGCAGCACTTGTGATGAATCCTTTGTGGCTGCTCGTCACTTGGCCATCCACGCCAGAAAACATGACCCCACACACAAGACTAGGTGATGCGTAGAAAAGATATTGATGTTTCTGAGTTATATACAGTACAGGCAAACCTCACTAATATGGTGGATTAGGTTCCAGACTGCCACCGTAAAGCGAATATTGCCTTAAAACAAATAAGTTCTTTTTACTTGCCAGTGCATATAAAGCCTAAAAACATGTTTATCTTTTATTAAGTGTGCAGTAGTACTATGCCTAAAAAAAGATGGAAAAATAAATAAATTTTTTTGAAAATTGCCAAAAACCACCTTAATTAAGAGCAAGATAAGTGTCAAAAGTAATAAACATGAATATAATTGAAGAGTGCCATATTAGTGAAGCACTGTAAAGCAAGCACCGTTTTAATGAGTTATGCCTGTTCATTATATAAAAAGTTAAATAACTGAAATAGTAATGTTGATTGTAACAATAAAAAACAGTTTATGTATGAAAATAATATTTTTAATCTGTGAATGCTGTATTATTTTTCAGGCTGTCTTGCCCTAAATGCCCTCAACGATATGCCTATGAAAGTCAGTTTCAAGTGCACATGCGAATCCATACGGGTGAGAAGCCATATGTCTGTGAAACATGTGGTAAATGCTTCAAGCGTCTACAAGTTAGTATGATTACAGTTTTGTATTTTAGTCCATTTAGATGCCTAATGGTGGGGAGGTTTGTGCAGATGTGATATGCAGACTAGCTTTGAAGTCTTGAAATTTCCCAGCAAACAAATAGGTATTCACATCAGTTGTCATGTGTCTACTTTAACAACAAACAAGTTTTCAATGCTTGCCTTAGTTTTTGGAGATGACTTGTATTAACATTATTTTTATGTATATTATATATGATATGTGATTTGTGTGTGTTAGGTCAAAGGACATGAGTGCAGCTAATATGACATTTTATTGTGGCAACGTTTCACTCTCCAGGAGCTTTGTCACGTTGTTTGCTCCTGGAGAGCGAAACATTGCCACAATGAAATGCTGCATAAGCTGCATTTGTGTCCTTTTACATAGCATATTGTCAGTAATTTTACCAACATTATTATGATTGAAGAATTGAGACACTTATGCAACATATGGGAATCTTTATTGAAGAAACATTTCGCCACACAGTGGCTTCATCAGTCCAATACAGAGTAGAAATGGGTAAGGAGAGGAGGAGTTTGAGGTGTTCAGTCCCTCAGCCTGGAATTGATGTGTCTTGTAGGAAGTACAGCATAGGGTCAGAGAGGTGGCTTATATACTACACTCAGGTGAGTCGAAGCAGGAGGAGGTGGGATCACAGTGGGACCTGCCACTAGTGTAAGTAGGTCGTTGTCCATTTATCACATCTGTCAGACACTGCAACATCATTGGATCTTGGTACAAAGACTTAACGCTTGTCCAACCTTTGGACAACGGCCTACTTACACTAGTGGCAGGTCCCACTGTGATCCCGCCACCTCCTGCTTCAACTCACCTGACTGCAGTATATAAGCCACCTCTCTGGCCCTATGCTGTACTTCCTACGAGAGTGATGGACTGAACACATCGATTCCAGGCTGAGGGACTGAACACCTCAAACTACTCCTCTCCTTACCCATTTCTACTTTGTATTGGATTGATGAAGCCACTGTGTGGCGAAACGTTTCTTCAGTAAAGATTCCCATATGTTGCATAAGTGCTTCAGTTCTTCAACTTGTCAGTTTTCAAAACCATTCATCACATTATTATGATTATATGTGATTGAGTCTGCAAGGGAGGTTGCTAATTGTATCATGTTTTTATTTTTTTGTAGTTTGCATGCAGTAGTTAAGATAGTTTTGTTTGGGGGGCTTCAGTGTTGCTGACTAATATAGCTGTCTACTGGATACAAGAGAAGAGCAAAGGAAGAGAGAGAAACAGTTTAAGATAATTTTTACAGTGTTGTTTGTGTTGTGAGAGATGCTGGGATAGGAGATGGGGACGACTACTTCAGTTACCTGATGCTCTTTAACCATATATTATTTATTTTGAAACTAATGCTGTAATCTTGATTTGCTTTATACAATTTTAAAAATTGCATTAATGATATTATTTTTTTTTTATGCTTCATCCTTCATGGGAAGTTCCTTGATGTTGGTGAATAGCTCTTGATTCCAGGAATCAAAGGTGCCTTTTCCTTCCTGGATCAGACCTGATTACTTTCCAGTTCCCAGGTGCTACATGTCTCTTATGGGTTTAGTGCTCCCAGTTAATAAAATAACAGTAATTTGTTATGTTTCAGCAATGCCGTGCACACCATCGCTCGAGTCATGAAAACCACAAAGAAACGTGTGTCCAATGCTATAAGACATTCGGAGACAAGACTAACTTACTACGTCACCGCCTCATGGTTCATAATCACCTTAAACGTTGGGTAAGACAAGAAAACTCAAAAAATTTTCTAGTCAGCATGTGTGGAAATATTCATTGTTTAGTTGACAGGAGAGAATGAATCAAAATTGTCTCAAGGGGTTTCTTACTTTTTATATATTGTGGAATTTTTTATAATTTTTATAATTTTTATTTATGCTGAATTGTTATTTTCTTGATTAATGATCATTATTCTTTGGTAATTTTCAAGTTTCTTCTTCTGTTCTGCTATCATTTGATACATGGTTGGGTTCTTTACTTCTCCTCCAGGTGTGTGGTGTGTGTGCACAAAGTTATGCGTATTCTCAGGACCTCAGAAAACACCTGCAGAAGAAACACAACCTGACGTTTGAAAAACTTGATCGAACCAACAAGAAATCTAGGCATGAGGTAGAATGTTAATTATTGTGTGTGATTTATTACCATTGGTCCAGTGCTCAATGAGGGGGTTGTGCTTCAATGTCGTTCCCCTCCTTTATTTTTTGCCTGATTTCTTTTATTTTTGGTGTATGCATAGAAGTGCTTATGTAGATGAATATGACAAAGTTTCAATAAGATTGGCCAACAAACAATGGAGAAAAAAAATATTTACTGATTTTGACATATGGCAGCATGGCATGACAAATTGGCACTACGAGTGGTACTTCCGACAATTCTAACTGTTAGAATACGTTTAAAACAAATATTTAATGGATACAATTCATCTAATATACCTTATTATTATGGTGAAAAAAATTACATTTGGTGCGCTTTTTTGACATTCACCAAAATATTTGCCTTTTCTTTCTTTCTTTCAACACATCGGTCATATCCCACCGAGGCGGGGTGGCCCAAAAGGAAAAACGAAAGTTTCTCCTTTTACATTTAGTAATATGTACAGGAGAAGGGGTTACTAGCCCCTTGCTCCTGGCATTTTAGTTGCCTCTTACAACATGCATGGCGTACGGAGGAAGAATTCTGTTCCACTTCCCCATGGAGATAAGAGGAAATAAACAAGAACAAGAACTAGAGAGAAAATAGAAGAAAACCCAGAGGGGTGTGTATATATATACTTGTATATGTATCTACAGTGTGACCTAAGTGTAAGTAGAAGTAGCAAGACATACCTGAAATCTTGCATGTTTATGAGACAGACAAAAGACACCAGCAATCCTACCATTATGTAAAACAATTACAGGCTTTCGTTTTACACTCACTTGGCAGGACGGTAGTACCTCCCTGGGCGGTTGCTGTCTACCAACCTACTACCTACAATATTTGCCTTTTACCCCCACAAAATAAAAAAATATTTGAGATATTCCAAAAAGTTCACTTTTGTCAATTCAAACACACTTTGTTTTATATTGTCTGTAAAAATCATTTCAATCCAATCATTAATAATGGTCCAGTGACAAGCAATAGACCAAAATCCTAGTTTCGAGATATTTGGGTAAACGCGCGGACTTGCTAATTACGTCAAGAAATTAAGAAAAAAAACACGAAAATCACATTACTTTGGGTTTATTTATGCGATATAAGTAATTTCTTATTATTTCCTGTGTTAGAAACACCGTTTTATGTAGTGCTACCAGAGTTAACATAGAAAACCCTTCTCTTATAGGGAGGATCTAGCGCAATCATTTCATCAAGGTCAGCCACCACCTCTGGGTATAATATACAAATAATATTATTTTGGCTGGCTTTCTTATGCATTTTTTTTTTTTTTTTTTTTTTTTTTTTTTTTTTTTTTTTTTTTTTTTAACAAGTCGGCCGTCTCCCACCGAGGCAGGGTGACCCAAAAAAAGAAAGAAAATCTCCAAAAAGAAAATACTTTCATCATCATTCAACACTTTCACCACACTCACACATTATCACTGCTTTTGCAGAGGTGCTCAGAATACAACTGTTTAGAAGCATATACGTATAAAGATACACAACATATCCCTCCAAACTGCCAATATCCCAAACCCCTCCTTTAAAGTGCAAGCATTGTACTTCCCATTTCCAGGACTCAAGTCCGATTATATTATGCATACTATCATTATTGAATAAATGATACAAACAGAAAAAGGATATTAGTAATAATAGCGTCAGTATAAGACATCTTGTGAGTGATGATCAGATTGTTGTCACGGCAACTGGTTGTTTCATCGTCATTCGAGCTCCTCCCACCTCTGATATAAGCTCTTCCTACATTGTAATGATATTAAGTGGTAAATTTAGTGTATTAGAAAGAAAAATAGACAGGAAATTAAAAAACAAACAAAAAATATATAAAAAATTTACCTCACACTTACGCACATATTTACCTGGCAGGTTGTCACTTGACATGTTTCAAGTAGCTATAATTTGCTTTAGAAACATCGTATTACGATGGGGTTTTCACCAAAATGTTCCCAGATACTTACACTATTTTTCTGTAAACAAAACCCAAAATCATATTTTTTCGCATAATTATCATGACAGCATCAGAAATTGAAACACAAGCCCCTCAAGGTATTATAGTTTTTTTTTTTTTTGTTTTTTGTTTTTTAATTTTTAAAGTTACCAGTAGCTGTTGTACTTCATATCTTTTCCTGCATCAACTACTTCAGTCTATCTTCCGGCCTGGCATCACTGTTTCACTTTAGCCTCTGGCATGGCATCACTTCTTCAGCCTTGCCTCTGGCCTGGTCTCCTAAGTTGATAGTTATGTGCCATTAGCTACAGTTGAGTGTTAATGTTTGATGTATTAGTGCTGTCAAATGTTTAAATGGTCAGTGCTTTCTCTGTTTCCCTTTACAGTAAGACTTGCATAATTAACTTTAGTTACTAAGCAAATTTGAAATGGTGTTCCAGATTGTTTTTAGTGTTTGTGAGCACAGTACTGACAGGTTTTCAGGTTTACAGTGTCTCTCACGAATCAAATTACATTTAAAAAAAATCAACAATGCAACATGAATATTTAACATAAAATTGTATCTGAATATGTATAAAGAATAAAAGGACAATACCATAATTGGAGCAATGCACATATGACCGCACATAGGAGACTGAAACTTTAAACTAGTTAATGGACCAAGTTGGACTGAAACATCGTCGTAAGTTTCAGTAGCCTATGTTTGGGTTATTTGTGTATTGTTCCAATCATGGTATTGTCTTTTTAGTCTTTATGCCTATTCAGATTCTCCATCGAAAAGTGGAACAGAATTCTTCCTCCATAAGCCATGCATGTCGTAAGAGGCGATTAAAATGCCGGGAGCAAGGGGCTGGTAACTCCTCCTGTATACATTACTAAATTTTAAAAGAAAAACGTTTGTTTTTCTTTTTAGGTCACCCTGCCTTGGTGGGATATGGCTGGTTTGATAAAAAAAAACTATTTAGATATAACTCTAAGTTAAATATTCATGTTGTGTATCTGAATATGTATGAGTGTGTGTGTGTAGTTCCAAAGTGTTTCTGGTATATTCTGTCTTTTGCTGGATTCTGTATCAAGTATGACTGAAAGAATCATGTTCTTGATTTGAGGAATTTAAACTGCTTTCTCTCTCCTCTAATTAAACTGTATGACTTGTGGGTTTACCACTTCCCTTCAAAAATAATAATGTATTGAATTATGTTTATCTTAATGTGTTATTTCAGGTTTATGTTGTGCCTGAGTTGGGAAGTCAGAACTCGAGTGCAGTTGTACAAGGAGCGGTGGAAATTGTTTGTGCTCTGGAGCATCGGAAAGTGCAGCAAGTTTTATGTGGCACATCTAGCACACTGAAGAAACCCAGAAAACATGATGTTGAGAATGCAGAGGAAGTTGACAACCCTGATGACCCATCGTCATTCCAGGACAATCCTGTAGCATTTGCTTCTCTTGTTGTTAATGAGCCTCCACCAGTACAAGAAACTGCTGTCACTGCTGCATCTGTATTGGTTCCCTCTGCTACCATAGCAATTCCCACACTAATTGAGAATAACCATATTCAAGCAGAGGAGAAAAGTGGTTTGAATGTAGTAGCAACAGCAGCAGCAGCAGGAGAAAGAGAAGTCCAAAGCTTTGTAAGATTGGCTGGGATTACTTGTGTTGAATGTGGGGTTGAAACTTCCACACCATTACAGTGTGGACCATGTGGTGCACTGCTCTGCTCACAAGGACACTTAGATATTCATGTTGCATCAAATCATCACGTGATGTTTCAGTGTTCTGTTTGTGGTTTGCATTATGCAAGTCAGGGTGAATGTGTGGCTCATGTGACATCATCTCATTCATCACATTTGTTGGCTGTTCAAGGAGGTGCAACAACTTACCTTACTCCGCAGTCTTCTCAGTCCATTCAGATAGCCAGTGGCAGCACCCTACCACCTCAAATATGCTTACCTCTTCCGCATTCCCAGCCAACTCCACAGTGCCTCATGCAAGTAGGAGGTCGTTCATCTCAGGTCCCCCTTGTTATTGCACCAGCCAGAGCCAACACAGCTATACAACAAATAGGAACAAGTAATGTAATTCTTCAGTATCCAAATGTCACTTCTCTTCCATCAAGCTTTCAAGGCATACCTCATTCAGCAACACTGGATTCTACCAAGAGTCAAGGAAATCAGCCAGTCTTCACCATGACTGGTGTTCTTTCAGGACAACAAGCAACACAACCAAGAAATCAAAGAAAAGCTAATCAGAACCTAGATAAACAGAAGCAAGCAGTGCCATCAGTGTGTGCTATCACACTTCCTTCCAGTAATGATGGAGGCTTGATACTTACTGCAGCAGGCGAGACCCCATCTGTAAACCTCTCCTCTGTACAGAACATAGCTTCACTCCCTACTGTCTTTCCCCACACCAACAACAGTGGGGAAAATTCTACTTTTCTCATGGGAAATTTGACCATCAACTCTCAGCCAAATGATGGTGCACCTGTGTTACTGATGGGTTCACTGCCATTTAATAATTTATCAGTTGGATCCACCACTGTTTTGTCTCAAAATAAGGTGAGTGTTCTGTCTTTTAACCTTTTCGGGGTCTGTGCCATAGTTCTATGGCTTTGAAGCCAGTATCTGTGCTGTACTTCTATGCCATGAGCTCAGGTCACTCAGATAAGCTGTGAGTGGTAAATTTGGGCTTAGATGTGAGAGACTGGGTCAGTGTAGTAAGTGTGCACTGTGTCAAAATAATCCTGCCCCATGCAGTGCATAATAAGAGAAAACTGTGACCGTGTTTTTGGTTGAAAATATCAACTTTACGGTGCATTTTTGAATGGTTTTTATGGTTGTATTCTCGGTTTCTTGGTATCATTTGATAGAATGGAAAATATATTACAGATACAGAGATGATTTTGATTGGTTTCAAGACTGAAAGTAGATTGAGATTGAGCTCAAAAGTAGCCAATATTCCAGAGTAAACAAATCGCATCACTTGTCCAATACTCTTCCTGCTATTTGATCTAAAATGGATTCATGAATGCACTGACATTATTTATACAATTGTTACAATAATGCATAACAATAAATCTTTTATTTTTTTTGTGTGAATAAATATTCAAAATGGAATTCATGCATAAAGCCTGGGAACATAACTAATGAACAAAAGAAATGTTATTTTAGTGCCAGGAATGCCTACATTGTTTATTCTGGACCCTAATTTGAAATTGGCTAATTTCTGATCACTTTATTGGGTGGTTGAAATAGTTGAATGGGTGGTTACTTGTGCTCAGTCGATAAAATGGAAGACATACTAGCGAAATAGCTAAGAATTTGATTGCCTGGAACAATGTAATTGGCTTAAAATTGGACTCAAAGTGGGCAAAATCACTAATGCCTCAATATTGCCGACACAGAAAAATTTGCAAAGGCGTAGTTTCGTCAGTTTTCCATCAAATTTTGTACTTTTTGTTTTATTACCTTCAGAAAAAGATTCTCTACCATTTCATGAGAAAAAAAATATTTTTTTCTTAAATTCTTAGACCCTGTAGACACTTTTCAGATCTGGGGTCTAGACCCTGAAAGTGTTAATGAAATAATTTACTATAATAATAATAAAAGTGTTATGGAGGGAGTAGTAGGTAAATTTGGGGTGCCAGGGGTAAATGTAAATGGGGAGCCTTTAATTGAGCTATGTGTAGAAAGAAATTTGGTAATAAGTAATACATATTTTATGAAAAAGAGGATAAATATACAAGGTATGATGTAGCACGTAATGAAAGTAGTTTGTTAGATTATGTATTGGTGGATAAAAGGTTGATGGGTAGGCTCCAGGATGTACATGTTTATAGAGGGGCAACTGATATATCGGATCATTATTTAGTTGTAGCTACAGTTAGAGTAAGAGGTAGATGGAAAAAGAGGAAGGTGGCAACAACAAGTAAGAGGGAGGTGAAAGTGTATAAACTAAGGGAGGAGGAAGTTCGGGCGAGATATAAGCGACTATTGGCAGAAAGGTGGGCTAGTGCAAAGATGAGTAGTGGGGGGGGTTGAAGAGGGTTGGAATAGTTTTAAAAATGCAGTATTAGAATGTGGGGCAGAAGTTTGTGGTCATAGGAGGGTGGGGGCAGGAGGAAAGAAGAGTGATTGGTGGAATGAAGAAGTAAAGGGTGTGATAAAAGAGAAAAAGGTAGCTTACGAGAGGTTTTTACAAAGTAGAAGTGTTATAAGAAGAGCAGAGTATATGGAGAGTAAAAGAAAGGTGAAGAGAGTGGTGAGAGAGTGCAAAAGGAGAGCAGATGATAGAGTGGGAGAGGCACTGTCAAGAAATTTTAATGAAAATAAGAAAAAATTTTGGAGTGAGTTAAACAACTTAAGAAAGCCTAGGGAAAGTATGGATTTGTCAGTTAAAAACAGAGTAGGGGAGTTAGTAGATGGGGAGAGGGAGGTATTAGGTAGATGGCGAGAATATTTTGAGGAACTTTTAAATGTTGAGGAAGAAAGGGAAGCGGTAATTTCATGCACTGGCCAGGGAGGTATACCATCTTTTAGGAGTGAAGAAGAGCAGAATGTAAGTGTGGTGGAGGTACATGAGGCATTACATAGAATGAAAGGGGGTAAAGCAGCTGGAACTGATGGGATCATGACAGAAATTTTAAAAGCAGGGGGGGATATAGTGTTGGAGTGGTTGGTACTTTTGTTTAATAAATGTATGAAAGAGGGGAAGGTACCTAGGGATTGGCGGAGAGCATGTATAGTCCCTTTATATAAAGGGAAGGGGGACAAAAGAGATTGTAAAAATTATAGAGGAATAAGTTTACTGAGTATACCAGGAAAAGTATACGGTAGGGTTATAATTGAAAGAATTAGAGGTAAGTCAGAATGTAGAATTGCGGATGAGCAAGGAGGCTTCAGAGTGGGTAGGGGATGTGTAGATCAAGTGTTTACATTGAAGCATATATGTGAACAGTATTTAGATAAAGGTAGGGAAGTTTTTATTGCATTTATGGATTTAGAAAAGGCATATGATAGAGTGGATAGAGGAGCAATGTGGCAGATGTTGCAAGTGTATGGAATAGGTGGTAAGTTACTAAATGCTGTAAAGAGCTTTTATGAGGATAGTGAGGCTCAGGTTAGGGTATGTAGAAGAGAGGGAGAATACTTCCCAGTAAAAGTAGGTCTTAGACAGGGATGTGTAATGTCACCATGGTTGTTTAATATATTTATAGATGGGGTTGTAAAAGAAGTAAATGCTAGGGTGTTCGGGAGAGGGTGGATTAAATTATGGGGAATCAAATTCAAAATGGGAATTGACACAGTTACTTTTTGCTGATGATACTGTGCTTATGGGAGATTCTAAAGAAAAATTTCAAAGGTTAGTGGATGAGTTTGAGAATGTGTGTAAAGGAGAAAGTTGAAAGTGAACATAGAAAAGAGTAAGGTGATGAGGGTATCAAATGATTTAGATAAAGAAAAATTGGATATCAAATTGGGGAGGAGGAGTATGGAAGAAGTGAATGTTTTCAGATACTTGGGAGTTGAAGTGTCGGCAGATGGACTTATGAAGGATGAGGTTAATCATAGAATTGATGAGGGAAAAAAGGTGAGTGGTGCGTTGAGGTATATGTGGAGTCAAAAAACGTTTATCTATGGAAGCAAAGAAGGGAATGTATGAAAGTATAGTAGTACCAACACTCTTATATGGATGTGAAGCTTGGGTGATAAATGCAGCAGCGAGGAGACGGTTGGAGGCAGTGGAGATGTCCTATCTAAGGGCAATGTGTGGTGTAAATATTATGCAGAAAATTCGGAGTGTGGAAATTAGAAGGTGTGGAGTTAATAAGAGCATTAGTCAGAGGGCAGAAGAGGGGTTGTTGAGGTGGTTTGGTCATTTAGAGAGAATGGATCAAAGTAGAATGACATGGAAAGCATATAAATCTATAGGGGAAGGAAAGAGGGGTAGGGGTCGTCCTCGAAAGGGTTGGAAAGAGGGGGTAAAGGAGGTTTTGTGGGCGAGGGGCTTGGACTTCCAGCAAGCGTGCACGAGCGTATTAGATAGGAGTGAATGGAGACGAATGATACTTGGGACCTGACGATCTGTTGGAGTGTGAGCAGGGTAATATTTAGTGAAGGGATTCAGGGAAACCGGTTATTTTCATATAGTCGGACTTCAGTCCTGGAAATGGGAAGTACAATGCCTGCACTTTAAAGGAGGGGTTTGGGATATTGGCAGTTTGGAGGGATATGTTGTGTATCTTTATACGTATATACTTCTAAGCTGTTGTATTCTGAGCACCTCTGCAAAAGCAGTGATAATGTGTGAGTGTGGTGAAAGTGTTGAATGATGATGAAAGTATTTTCTTTTTGGGGATTTTCTTTCTTTTTTTGGGCCACCCTGCCTCGGTGGGAGACGACCGACTTGTTAAAAAAAAAAAAAAAATTTATTGTTAACACATCGGCCATTTTCCACTGAAGCAGGGCGACTCATAAAAGAAGGAACACTTTCATCATCATCATTCACTCCATCACTGTCTTGCTAGAGACACACCTGCACTACAGTCAAAAAAACTGCAGCATATCAATTCATACGTGTTAAACGTATGGAATAATGGAATAGAGAAAAAGAAAGTTATTTTTTGGCATTGAAAAAACTGTTTCTTTTTGACTTGTAGCTAATGTTTTTGCTTTGACATAATATTAATATTATATGCATTATGGTTTCTACTAGACCAGTTGTCCCTGGATATGACAGAAACACTATGAGAGAGAAGCTAAATTGAATGTCTCTCATTTATTGTTGTTTGACATTGATGACACAAAATTACCACATAGTAGATCGCTATATTATCAACTTTAACATTGCTCTTTTAGATAATAACATTTTGTGCATTTTTCTATTATTTGTACGTTATCCACATAATCTTCTTTCTTATTTGAGTCCAGTAGCCAGTTTTTGTTTTTTACTTTTTTATGACCCCATGGGCACAGTGGGTTAGAATGCCTCGCATATAAGCCTGGTGTGTCATAAAAAGGTGACTAAAATGCCAGGAGTAATAGGTTAGTAACCCCTTCCTCTGTATTCATTTACTAAGATACTGAAGAACATTTTAATATTAGGGTGCATAAATGTGTGTGGTTGTAGTACAGATGATAAGAGAATTGGATGTCGATTTTATGAATAACAAGAAACTGGATATTATAGCACTAAGTGAAACAAACCTAAAAGGGATGGGAGAATCTCAATGGGGAGAAGTAAATGAGATTAGAGTGAGCATATCTGAAAGAATTAGAACTATTAAATAAGCCACTATGGAATGAAAAGAGAGGATATAAGTGTATAAATTCAAGAATTATGTGGACTAGAATATAGGGAGTTCACAAGAAGTGGGTTAGTGTTTGTGCACCTGGGTATAAGAGGTGTGCAGCAGAGAGAGAGATTTTGGGAGGTGTTAAGTGAATGTTTAGAAGGTGTTAAGCCAAGTGAGAGAATAATTGTGGTGAGAACCTAAATGCTAAAGGATGTAAGGCACAATGATAGCAATTTGTTAGACTATTAATAAATAAAAGGTTTA